TCGAGCACTTACTTGTACCGGCACCGGCCGTCCGTGGCACGCACGCACGCAGACACGGCCACGTGCCACGGCATGGTGGTTCACTGAATCACTGGTTCGTCCGGTTCGCTTCTGCCTAACCTGCCGGGGAGCGGGAGCCAGAGCGAGAGCTCGGACAGCCGGACAGGGCTCGTGAGCGCGCGCTGTTCTCCAACGACTCCGATCTGGAGCTGTAGGCAGCCGTTCGGCCGGCCGTCCGTGCTCAGGAAAAGGGTTCTGCAGATCGGCTACATATCCTAGGCAGACCGGCCGGCACCCTAACAGCAAACCGATGTGTTGTAGCATGCGCCAACCCAATTCATGTCTCGACATGTGGATGTTGATTGTTGAGACTAGTCAGTGTGTAGCACTGTTCGCAAATCGCAAGTGGCATCGCTTTCAAATTGTAATTTCAATACTTTTTTCCTGGTAACAATGTTCTGGCTTCTGAGTAAAACAAGTGCAAACTGAGTAGTAGAGTGGCTGAATGTCAGTCAGTGATGACGGTGCATCCATACTCAGTACGGTCAAACGGCAGACCCAGGGCAGCAGGAGGAAACGCCTGTGATCTGGTCAGGAACTCAGTGACTCTGATCTCTTACCACTACCAAGTCAGTGCCTCCTGAAACTAATCTTGAACAGTTCTTTTCTCACCTCCTCAACACCAGGCTGCGACTTGCTCATCTTGGCCGGTTCCGAGTCACAGGCCTGGAAACGATAAACAAGCATGCATGCATTGGGCGATCGGCCTTGGCCGCTGGCTCATTCCAACACGGAAGACGGAGATGGGTGCTAGTATTCAGGAGCGTTGAATCCGCCGTCACTCGCCACCAAATGCTCTGATCAGTTCCACATTGAAGCTCTCAACTCACACGTCGCCGTCATCACTGCGCCCAGTCACCATCCCTCCATCCCCAGAAGCTCTGCACAACGAGGCAGCCTCTGCCTCCTGCCCATCACATGCTAACTCCGTCCATGCAATTCTATTTCTATGTCCGGTCAAAGTTACAAATTATGCTAAGTTTAACTTAAATTATAGCAAAATGTTATTAACGCATAGTATGACTCTAAACGAATATACCACAAAAACATATTTCATGGGGAGTCTATTGATACTTATTTAGATTGATAAATATTAGTGTCTTCTTTATATAAATCTAATCAAACTTTGAAGTTATCGTTATTCTAAAATTACCTCTTTTTGAGATGGCTTGTCTGCGAGGACGATGTCGACAGAGGAAAAGTCTACAGGTTTATCCAGGGACAAGAATAAGAAGAGCTCAGGAACGTCAGCAGCCGTATCCTCTTCTTTTTAAGAGTTGCAATTGCATCATTGCATGTATACGTGCAGGTAGAGGAAGATGCCCTGCCAGTCAGAACGGAGCACCAGCACGCAGCCTACAAAGCCACCATGCATTGACCACTCTTTTGTCCGAGTACGAGGACCCGGCCGGCATGTCCTTTTCTCCCCTACAGAATAGCCAGGCGACTCTTCAAGTAGTTGCAGCGTAGGAGTAGGACTAGGAGGAGTACACTTCATCCAAAGACTCGTCACTGTCTCAGTTATCTCAGCTGCCTAGTATCTAGCCCTACATTCCCCTCCCCTGCCACTGCCTGCACACGTCGTTGGGCACGCACGATACGGGTTATACTCCCCTGCCTGCAAACCGAGAAATCTGCTCGCTCCTGTGGCTCTCATCTCCACATGCCACCCACATGCCGCTGCTTGCCGCTGCCGAGACCTCAAGGGCCCCCGACAGATCCAACTCCAATGCTGCTGCCGATAGCTCATGCTCATGCCGACACCTATTCCTCTGGGGCCTCCTGGCCATGGTGAACGAGTGGTAGTAGAAATTACTATAGAAATACTACGCAGTAGAATACTGGCAGCTGAAAGATTGCAGGGAAACCAAGGTTGGTCCGGTCCCTGAAAGATGTGGCATTTATTTGACGCGACGCAAGCAAGCGGAGAAGGTTGCTCCGGTTGGCGGTTTTCGGATCGAGAGACTCAAGTTTATTAATGTCACATCGATATTTGATATTAATGAGAAACACTAAATATGAGCCTAATTAAGTTTAATAGATCCATCTCATAAATTAGTCTCAATCTATATAATTATTTTTATAATTAGTCTACATTTAATACTCAATACATGTGTCTAAATATTCAATATGAGAGGGACTAAATTGTTTTAGTAGGGGCAACCAACAACGCAACACCCCGTGAGGCTGGCTAGGCTGACGAGGGTTGTTTGTTCCCTCCGATCCACTCGCTTTCATGTACAGCTCACTTTCTTGGCCTCCCCACTTTCCAGCTCGGTTTGCTAACCCATGGTCGCCTCGCCTCATCTCCTCGCCCAACTCCATAACTTTGCATGGCTTACATGGCAGTTCGCCCCTATCCCTATATGTATAGCAAATTAGCAATTAGCAAGCTTGCCTTCTTCTTCCTTCAGCTACCCTGTCGACCTCACTCTCAGGGTCCGGTCCGGTGCATATATACCTTGATCGATCGATCGATCAGATAGATAGATAGGATCGCATTGTGTTCCACCGCCAAAAGCCAGCCACAGCATCGACATGATGCAGGACTTGTTCTCAGTCCCTTCGTGTTTCTCGGCGGGCGAGAAGCTCCCGGACGTCCCGGCGTCCGCGGCGGCCACCAGGTCCGGGCAGAGCGCGGTGACGCTGGTCTACCGCGCGGGGATCGCCGGACAGGACCGCCTGGTGACGGTGACGTGGTGCAGGAACCTGCTCACCCACGGCCTGTCCGTGTCCATCGAAGGGTCGGCAAGCGGCGGCAAGGACAAGAGCGGGAGCAGCAGCAGGGACAGGGAGTGGGGCTGGGGCGACGCCGACAGTGGCGGCGGCGCGTCCTCCAAGCAGGGCTGCAGCACCGCCTGCAAGGTGGAGATGCAGCCGTGGCACTTCTGGCGCAAGTACGGCGCCAAGCAGTTCCACGTCGACGGCAGGGCCGTCGACGTCGTCTGGGACCTCCGGAGCGCGAGGTACTCCGACGAGCCCGAGCCGCTGTCCGACTACTACGTCGCCGTGGTGTCGGACGAGGAGGTCGTCCTCCTCCTCGGCAACCTAAAGAAGGAGGCGTTCCGGCGCACCGGGTCGCGGCCGTCGCTGCGGGACGCCGTCCTGGTGTGCAAGAAGGAGCACGTCTTCAGCAAGAAGCGGTTCCTCACCAAGGCCAGGTTCCACGACAGGGGCAAGCTGCACGACATCAGCATCGAGTGCAGCAGCAGCAACCTCAGCGGCGCCGGCGTCGGCGTCGACGTCGACATGGTCATCAAGATCGACGGCTCTGTCAACGTCCTCGTCAGGCACCTGCAGTGGAAGTTCAGAGGCAACGAGTGCATCTCCATCAACCACCTCAAGGTGCAGGTGTACTGGGACGCGCACGACTGGCTCTTTGGCACGGGGATGAGGAACGCACTGTTCATCTTCAAGCCCGAGCCGCCGTCCACCACCGCTGCGGACCTCCACACTGATGAGTACTCTGATTTCTGCCTGTTTCTGTACGCATGGAAACTTGAGTGAGCTAGGATTCCTGTTCCTGCACTATAGTGGACACCTTACCATGTTATGAACCAATAATTCATATCATGTAATACTAATGGATTATTATTGGGAGATGAAGTGTATGCAAAATGAATGATTGGGGCCATTTTCTCTTTCCTTCCTTCCTTAATCCTTCCCATGGGACTATGGGAGTGTGTTGTGCACATGGAGGATTGGACTGGAGGGGCACAGGATAGTCCTGGGGATTAGGAACAGGCTGGTCCTGATTGAGAAACATGACAGGCAGGATTCGCAATGGCATTGCCTTTCCCAATCATGCATTCATGCTGATTTATCCTGGGAAACTCCAGCTAAAGAGCTGGTCCCTCCCATGGAGTACTATTGAATTCTTCAAAAAAAAAAGGAACTATCTTTCTCATTTATCTTGATCCTCCTAATTTCTTTAATTTTGCTCCGTTCAAGAACGAGGACCCCGCAGATAGGGGTACAAATCCCTGAATACTGACTGATTGTAGCATAATTTGTCCCATTGATGACATAAACTCAAGGAATACAACCGCGATACTTTCACCTGAGCATAAAGTAACGGCCTTATTGGATTTTGGTCTTTGAACCAACTTTAGCACTCAGAATTCCCATTAAGATTTCAGAACGCCTCATCATTTTTTTTTCTGCAGGTTATTAACAGATGCAAGAAACAATTGCAGAAAGAATTAGTAGCCAATTTGCACATCATATTTACTCATCTTCATCCACTCTAATCAATATAAATCTCATAGATATATCAGTCCGAATGGTTTTATTCAGTAATTTTAGTAAACGAGGATCAGGATTGAACAGAATCAGATTGCAGAGAACTTCGAATGAAAAGCTTAACTGAACAAGTTCGAAATAGTTGGGAGCCCAATATGACAAACTAGATTCTGAGGTTTGAATGTACAAACTGAAATAGTTTGGGGGCTTATGGTGTATTTTCACCGGTAATACCATATAGGGTTCAGGGGAAAAAACTGCAGTTTAATGAGCAATTCAAGTAGAATAAAAATAATTGTTTCCTGATGCTGATTATTAATTCCTATTGCTCCCCCCCCCCCCTGGTTGATAAGATTTTACTTTAGGAACACAGTTATGCTACTAGTAATACCATATGTGCATCTTTGTTATGCTACTAGCAGTTCTCATCAAAAGCTTTTAGATTTTCCCAGAATTTCCACTTAAAATAAATATAGAAGTGCTGCGATAACAGAGGCCACAAATGTAAACGTGGAGAGTAAATTTATCTGACCAAATGGCCAGTTTACACAGTTACAAAGAACACAATTGGGTTTTCACATGAACAGAATCTGTAGAGGGAAGTTTTCTCACATGGTACTTCCTCAAAATAATGATGCTTCTTAAATTCATGAATATCAATTAAATTGTTAATCAAACTAGCAGAAATGAGAAAAAGACTATTTTGAACCAAAACCAAACCATTTCGCCAAGAACAACTTATTTTTCCCACGAGATGCTTCATCTGAAGTCTTTCCACGACTTCCACGTGCTGTCCTTTGGTTAGCTGTAATGGAAATAACCATAACCAAATCAGCAGGATATATATCATGTACAAAATTGCACTCACATATGATCAACTTTACAAACTTATTAGTTAGTAGCAGATAGATGCTATGGATAGAACAGTTAACATGGTGTCCAGAGTTTATAGTAAAAATTAAAAGTGAGTTTGTGAAAAACAATAAAAAAAAGGTTTCTTAATGAAAACAAAAGGGCGATCCAAAAGGACCTCTAGATGTAGTATTATTTCTGGATTCAAAGGTTAACCCAGAAAATTGTGGTATCCTTAATTAATTAACTGTTCAGCTCTATACAAGTAATGTGCTTATCAAATCATAATGGTCCAATGGAGGCACTAAAAAGCTTACTTGAATTTGATTTTTTAGCATCTTGCGATGACCCTGATGCTGAGATTGAATTTTTTTGCTCTGGAGGACTGTCCTCATTACCTAGTATAAAGAAAAAAAAAAAAAATCATGTAAGACAATAATGGTTGAACGAAAATGATGAGCAGGCTTCAAAGAAACATAGTTAGATGCTTTATTTAGAAATTCTAATCGAGTCATTGAGGTTGTATAAGATGGCAGGTGGAGTTGCTATAATGCTATCAGTCAGATGTAATATCTGAATGCTAGTCCAATTTTAAAATAATGGACACAAATCTTAAATCTGTCTTCAAGATGAAAGTACAGTAAATTGGTAAAATAAAAGTCAGTTATTTTAGCATGTGAATATAAAATGGATGGAACTCACCATCTGTGGTTGAATATCTATAGGTGTTCTTCAGGTACTCGACAAAGGAGTGATCATTGTGATCAAGCATCACTGGTCAAAATGCAAGGTAAAAGTTAATAGCAGCCATTAATGTATGAATTTGTAGATCAATGCCTAAGTAAGATTTGTATATTACATTGCTGAAACAATTCATGCCTCATATGCTCAGAGGTACTGAACAGAAGCAACTGCACTGCATCTGAATCTCTATTTGAGCACTTCTTGGAAAGGTTGCTCGTATCTAACAGGATACCTGAGAGCTGATGGGAAACCACATTAAGTATAATCAAGAGAGTTCACTCAGAAAAAATATAATCAGGAGATGCCTGTAATATACACAGGATACTGCACGTAGAAAATGCACTAACCAGAAGTTTCTTTATGTCCAAGTTCTGAAGCAGGCTATAAGCATCCTCACAATAGGTATGGGTCAGGGTTGTGCAAACTGAGCCCACCTAGGAGACCAAATCAAGCATGCTTATGAAGTAAATGCTAATGTCATATACGTTAACCTATGAAGACACTTGAAAAGTACAAGTACACATTATTACCTCAGCTTTTGATTTCAAAACATCTTGCCCCACCACAAGTAAGCTAACTCGCTGGTCCATTATTAGCCCATCCATGTCAACCTAATTAAGATTCTCGAAATCAGAATCATATATACATTTTGGTTCCCATGCAATATGTATACAGCTTGATATTCCTTACGAACTGGGGAATAACACATTTTGAATGCCACTGCCCATAGAAAACAAATGCGAAATTATGAAAACCAGTTGGAAGGAAACAAGCAAATATAGTTAGCGGCTGGTGCTGGTGGACATTGCTCTTCTTTAACTCTTCATGATATCTTATGGATACATTACTTTATACTGTCCCCCACTTGTGGCTTGGATTCATCTTCCCTTTCTATCAGCGTATTATGCTAAAACCGCAAATGCGAAATTCTGAAAACCTGTTGGTGTCATGGTCACTAAGGACGACAACCACATGGTGCCAATCAAAATTGAGGACACTCACATGACACGACTGAAAATGTGTTGCTGTATATACCCCATCCCTGTTGCCTTGCCTCTGCCTCAAATAAACGCTCCATAACTCTGGGACCAAGACAGTTGTCGAATCTGTCCGAAACTAACTCCATACCGTACGCCAGCCATCGCCATTCACGTCTTGAAGAGGCACAGTGTATGCGCATTAAGATCACATGATGTACCTCATCGGCGAAGAGCAGCGCCGAGGCGTCGACCCCAACGTGATACAGGAGCCAAGCCGCCTGCCTGCACCTAGCCATCCTGCTCCGGCGCATGTTCACCACCGGCACTGCTTCCTGGCCATCCCCATTGCTTGGCAGCATCCACGCGTAGCATATCGCCGCCACAATCGAGCTCACACCTACCCAAGTTCAAAACAAAGATCCAATAAATGACGACACAGCTCAGATTCAGTTCAAATTTCAAATATGGAGCCAGAAGTTCAGTAGAAACTTACTTTTGGAGGCGTCGGAGAGCACGAGCTTGGTGGGCCTCGACGCGGGACGGTCCCCTGCCGCTAGGTCGGCGACCACGGAGCGCTGGCGACGGAGGAAGGAGTTGAGGCGGGCAACACCGTCGCCGGATCCATCGGCGGCGAAAGCGGGGGCTGAGGACGCGGAGGCGTGGCGGCGGTGGCGAGAGTGCGCGGCGGAGATGGGCGAGGTGGACGTGGACGTGGCGCGACCGAGGGGGGAATCGGGGGTAGGGGCGTCGCGGAAGCGAGACTTGCGGCGAGGGTTTGGGGGTAGGGAGGGGGACGGGGAGGGGGGCGCGGAGGAGGCGAAGGGATCGGAGCGCGGAGGGGACGAGCTGATGGACGCGCGCTGCAGGATCTCGTCGCCGATACCGCCCGGTTGCCAGTGCCTGCAAGCACGCACGCACGCCGGAGGAAGATCAGTTTAGCGGGGAGGATGAGCGTTCGCGACGGGCCCCAAAACTTGCACAGAGTGAGGTGAGATGGCAGTTGGGCCACAAAACAACTTGCTACTGCCTGTTGGGCTATTGGATAGGCTTTCCGGCCTGTTAAAGATCAGGGTCATTTAATAATATAGTGAAGCCTGTTAAAGATCAGGGTCATTTAATATAGTGATCACTGATCAGGTATAAAAATCCTCACAAAAACATAGTGAGCCATCGACTACTTCCTCTATTTTAAATTATAAGACGTTTTAACTTTTCTACATATATATATATATTTTGTTATACACTTAAATATACACTATGTCCAGATACATAATAAAATAATGAACCTAGAAAAATCAAAATATCTTGTAATTTGGACGGAGGAAGTACCTAAAAAACTATTGACTTGTCACTTGAGTACTAAAATAAGATGCTCAAAACTATGGTTAAGCAAAGGCTCTGCACTTGGCAAGCAACGGTACATTTGTGCAGCACCTATGGGGGTTCTAGCTTCGCCACTACCCACTTATGGGGGTTTGTTTGGCTACATTCGCATTCATCTAAATGTACATATGTTGAGATGGATTGGAATATCAATTTGTTAATTTTTCATTTGAATATATGTAGATTAAGGAGAATTCGAGTGCAGCTAAGACTTTTATATGAATCCGTTGAAGGTGTCATTCTAAAAGAAATATTGAAGATAGAGCATAAGTTATTTTTCATGGACAAAAAATTGTGGTGCATTACTCTAAAAAAACAAAAAAAGATTATGGTGCATGTTTAAGACTGGATATTCATTTTATAATATTTAGGTAAATCGTGCAACAGGCCAGCACTACAAAGTCTGTTTGATACCGCCCTCGTTTGGAGCGCTCACCTGGGCAACTGAATCCAATTCTAGGTACTCGAAAATGAACATGCGAACCCAAACAATATTGTGTTTGGTAGGGATCTAGATTCTACTAGAAACGTTTCAGATTCATATTTTATTTAAAAACATTTCTTTGTTGAAATAGAATAGAATTGGTCAAACCATTTGGCTATTGATCCCGAATCTCCTAAAAATAAACAAGAATCACTGCAAAACACATATTTAGATGATTCTCATTTCTAATTCAAAACAGAGAAATATTATTTTATGGGTGTTTCATGGAGACCCGCTTCTCTGAACATATATGTGTTAAATTGTGATTATATATTTTTTGATCTTGAGATTCACTTGAGAATCCGTAATGTTTCATCCAAACGCATAACTGTGTGAAGCTTCTAATTCTACAGGTGAGTGTGGGTCGTGAGCCCGTGACATATATGTGTTAAAATTGTGATTATATATTTTTTGATCTTGTCAATGGGTCTGATTATTCTACGATCCTATTCAATAGAATATACATTTCTACAATTTTTTAATTTGCTATCCTATATATTATCCTACCCAAAATCCTCCATTCAATTTAGAAACGACCTTGCCAGTGACCAATGATGTTTTGCACGGGAACTCCAGGCCATGGCACAGTTGTGGTGGTTACAGAAAAAAAAAACTGCGTTCATGCATTAGTGCATCGAACAAACTTGTCGAACCAAGTCATTTCGTGGTAGGACTACAGTAAGGAGTACGTGAGCGCGCGCGCATGGTGCACCGTGCACGCCTGCACGGACGAAAGTGATCTAGTTTTACCTTCTGGCGGACCGCGACATCGGGTCCCGGCGGTCGAGCGTCGGCGAGGGCTCCGTCCTAGATCCGCCGGCGAACCTGGGCAGCTGCCTGGACGGCGACCCGACGCCCTTCCGCCCCGGCGATCCGGCCCCGACCATCCTCCTCGCCTCCTCCAGCCAATCCTGCGTTTGCTTGCTCGCGCTGCTACCGCCGCCGCCGCCGCCGCTCTTCCCCTGCTTCTTGTTGCCCGCTGGCGATGCTGGCCTCTTGCTGCTCTCGCCAGTCAGGTCGTAGCCGCCGCCGCCGCCGCTGTGCCGCGCGCCGACCGTGCCGAAGAACCAGTCGTTCATGAAGTCGGTCAGGTCCGGCGCCCCGTCCACCTCCATGCTGGCAGCGCGTCCAAAGGACGACGCCTCGGGTGCTTACTGCTTATTAGCTTGCTGCGTATTAATTTGGAGATGTTTCTTTCTCTGCGAAGGTTTTGGATGCAGGTCGCGGGCCGGCCGGGGTTTTACCCTGCTGCGTGCGGAGATGAAGAGGTGGCGGAGGATCGGGACGGGCCGGGCAGTGCCGAGAGCGCGTCAACTGATGTGGCGGCCGGCCGTGGGCGGCGGCTTGTATCGTAGCGCGGACCACGGAGAGATCGTTCGATCATTCCGAGGCCTTTGTTGTATTTTGCCGCGAAACGGCACGGGATCTCAATACGCGCCCTGCAGGTGGAGCTCGCTGATGAGACAACGGCCATCGGCAGCAGCCCTGGCTTCGTCGCCTCGATATGGGTAGCGTGAACATTACACTGTTGTCGGCCTATTTTAACCTCGGTAGTTCTCTTTTAGGTGAAAGTCACATTTTCAGAGCCCTGGACGCTGATTTTGAACTTTAACTACTAAACCGGTACCGGACGTTCTTCAATTGTCAAAAGCGGAGCTCTGAATCGCGATTGTACTGACCACTATCAACCCGCCGCCGCCACGTGCCCTCTGCATGATGCCACCCAACTAACATTGCGTCCATGCATGCACGCCTAGTCTCGCCTACGCGCCCTGCATCTGTAGAGTGTGTGAGCACAAAGGTGAGTGCGTCTGTGCATCTACTCGTACCTTGTTTAAGAATATATAATGATAATAATCGTCATTCGTGTATAGATTCCATACAAAACAGGTTCATTTGATCGAATATATATACTTAGCAACTCCAAGAGACTCTATATCCCATACAATTGTTAAGAATAGAGATTTTAGTTAGAAAATAATCTTCAACAACTTCTTTAATTAGATATCAAATAGAGTCATTTTTAGATTTCTCGTTAGCTAAAGATGAAGAACGAGACTGACTCTCTAGAGTACGCACAAAGATATAAAAGAGTTGTTACAGTGTGGAAAGATATAGAAATCGGTTTTTATTTAAATGACTCTTGGAGTTAGAAGAAAAATATGAATATTTTCAAGTTCTGCACAAAATGTGTTAAGTGAACCGGACCGACCAATCTCAGTAAAGTTTTATTCTAAACGTGTTGCACAAAATGTGTAAAGCACTCTCTACCTAATAATATTAAAGAATAAGCGTTTCTTCTAATCCGTTTTTTACTTCCCAAACTGCCCTCGCACCCCCCTTATTCCATATGGATATGAGTTAGGAAACTGAATTTCCGTACCCGTGCTAACACTACAGGGCGCATCGTAAGTAGCTAACTTGACCTGACAATTAGCACATAGAATGTAGACACTGAGGTCGAAACAAGGTAGCAATTACCCTTTAAATGAATCAATTGTACAGATCAGAAGGTTAAGATTAGATTCCAGTCCTGCCTTACATGAATCTGTGACTTCATGAGAATTCGAGTATACACAAAAGGTACCATGTGAGTAACAACAGCATATTAATACCAAAATACCTCGGTAGTTGCTATTGACAGCAAACTGAGGAAATTAAGCATCTTCAATGTAGGAAACATCAAAAGGTTTCCAAAAAGGCATAAGACTGGAGATGTCTGTTGACATTGTTATTCGAGATGATCAACATATAGTTATGACTAAGAATACCCCTACAAAAGAGTCCAAGCGATTAAAGAAAGAGAAGCTAAGTGCATACAACATATTATTCTCCCTGTGTTATAGCCAACAATAAAAATGAGAATACAGAATAGTCACCATGTTGATGAAGGAAGTGTTACAACAAGGAGCTCCGTAACACACCTTATGCAGCTGCCATCAATTTTTCTGTCTTCCTCTTCAATCGTTCCATAAATTGAGGATTAGCCTTAAGTCTTCCTTTAACATAAGCATTTCTGGCATCCTCAACAAGTTTGTCAGCTTTTATTGCATCTTTTATTAGAGTATAAAGTGTCCTCAAGCAGTCTTTTCTGTTCTCTTCCCGATGTTCAAACCTGCCAAAGCAATCAAATTGCAATGATAAGGCTATCATCCTGGAGATCAAGATTCCTATTAGTACGAAGCAGAGCCACAAATAATATAGCACAGTTTTCGAAATGAACAAAAAGACCCAATTCTGACAGTAGCACGTTTTATGGGCTATTTTAGTGATGGATGTCGTACATAATTTCATAATCTTAGGTTTAGTGCGCAAAAAGAGAATACATCATACCTTTCACTGATTATTGTGAGCTCATCTTTCCCAGAATTATACCTCTTCCCAACAACCTCACGCAACCGACGGAAAGCATGTCGTGAAAGTCCCAGTTCCTTCACAGTTACACTGAGTTTGACTTTTCTGTTTTTGGGATGATATGCATCGCCACTAGGAGCAAACACAATCCGTGATTCCCACCTTAGAACAGGTCCCTCGTCAGGTAGATCATCTAACTCAACTTTCTTACTTCCTGATTCAGTCAGTTCATCAGCGTCAGTTGGCACCTCTGCTTCAATTAGTTCAGTGCACTCGACAACCATCTTGTCCTCAAATTCTTTGAACAACTCATATGCCTGCTCAGGTTCCATCTCTCCCCTCTCACACATGTCTCCCAACTCATTAAATTTGGCCTCCACCTTTTGCTTGATCTCATCTGGATGTAACATGTGAAGTGTCAAAAAAGAAATAGAATCACAATACTGCTGTACAGGAAAATGAGAAAACACACCCATAGCTATTATACTCAAACAATTACAAGTAATTACATATCTATATTTCAGGCATGAACAAAATAAAAACAAAACTAGAAATTCACACCTGAATACTCAACATGCACACAAAGACTAGACTGTTTGCATGGTATCATAGCATCCCTACTGGAAATAAATCAGATAGTATGGTTACAAAAAGATGCCTTACAAGCAGAAATGCCTATTCTATTGACAAGATATGCTTGTTATCACAAGTACAATCTGGACCATTGCCGACTGGCGACTTCTATAATAGCAAGTCCAACGTACTACCCCACCGTGACAGGTTTTATTCTTTGGTCTACACCTAGCTAAAATTTCAAATGCTCTATGTATCGAGCTATATTTTTCAATGATCAGTATGAACTTTTAAACTACAATTACTATGATCTCCTGATATACATTGTTGATGACATGATTACCCCCTTGATGCATCTTGGATCTACCACACGAGGGAGAACAGGCAGCTGCCTGTGATCTATGTGCAGAGGATGGCACATTGTACCATCTGAGAACAACTGAAAGGCAGGATGGAACTGCTTCAGATGCTGACTTGGTTGGGGACCCCAACGTCACATCAACCCACTACTGACACATACAATAACTAAAAGGAGCTTGCATGCCAATTTAGCTGAAATTGAAGAAGCTAAAGAGACGCTAAGCTAACTCATTTGTGTGTATCACCAAATGGACAGAGAAGAACATGGCAACACTACCCTCTTTGAAGTTACACCACAATTTGTCTCTTGAATATTTTTGTTTGCTGCCAGAATGATAAAATCTTATTTGGTTAGTGATGCAAAGTTCAATATATAAAGGCCATCATATGCTAAATTCAACTTATCAGTCAGAAGAGCGAATGAGATAACAATGAAAATCCTTTGTACGCGTGTTTCTATAGCTTGTTGACAACATTTCTAACACAAAAGAAAAAAAGGGCGTACCCAGTGCAGAGAGCTCCCGCTCTGTGCGGGTCGGGGGAAGGGTGTTAGTGGCAAGCCTTACCCTCGCCTGTGCAATGCGAGGAGACCGCGACTCGAACCCGGAACCTTCCAGTCACAGGCGGTAAGACTACCGCTTGCACCAGGCCCGCCCTTCTCTAACACAAAAGAAACTCTTAAAAAACATATCACCATTTTCTGTATGTACACTACGATACCCTTATATTACTTATATGAATCAATTATGCAAGATTTCACAACGTAAAGCCAACAGCCCAACACTCTGGTAATTACACTCTTGCCAATATAACCAGTTGCCCACTTATATATAACAAAAGCCACAACTAGATGATCAGCCCAGCATAATTCCTTAAATAAGAAGCTATGAAGCATTCAGTATGGTATAAAGATGACAGGTGTCTATATAATTCATAGATGCACTCCTTGGCCAACTGACAATTGTCTATATAATCAAAGGAAACGCAAACTGATAAGAATTTGAAGCATAGAAGAAGAAAAAGAGATTCATTTTAATCACAAAACTACTTGGCCAAAGCAATCCAATGATGACCGTAAAATGTCAAATCCATAACATCCTTTATCTCCAACATCCTAGTCATTAACTTCTCATTATAATTAGAGATTTCATTTCCAAAAGGTTCATAATATTCATAATAATGGAAGCAAGATAGAGAAAGCTTCAACTGAACATACCAGGCAGTAACTTGTCCCAGTAGAGCATGTCCTCGAGGATTCCCTCGCACACCTTCATGTTAGTAAAGCAGCCCTTGTCTGTGGCCTCCTTCATCCAGGCATCCCACTTGGTGTCATCCATGTTAAACAACTCATTGTTCTCGATCTTCTTCTCAACATATTCCCTTGCATTGTAGAGGTCATTCAGCTCCTCGTCGGTATCGTGCATCTCCTCAAAATCAGACTCAAAGTCTCGGTCACGGACTTCAGGGAGTGGCTTACTACTACGCAGCTCCTCAATAAGGTCATCATCAGTCTCACTATGGGCACCCGTGAGATTCCGCTCAAGGACAGCCTCAGCGACGGATGGTAACTCTGCCTCTTCATCCACCCCATAGTAAGTCTCCAACCTCTTCTTCAACTCTACAATCAGAGACATCATAAGGACAGACCAACAGGATTCTTATGCATGACACTTTTTAGGTTTCTATGCGATAGCATTGCAAGTAAGGCATTACTCCCTCCATGTCCCTAAAGAAAGTGGTTTTGGACATCGGCACAGTCTCCAAAAAAACAACTTTGACCACTACTTTTTGCAATAAAATATTTATAGAATATAGTCAATATATACTT